TTAGCCAGAGAAAATAAAAGAGAGATGACATGCGTTTGTGTTTCTAGTAGTGTCCTGCGGGAACGACTTTTTTCCCTAATTTTCCCATTCCCATTTAGACTTAGGGAATGGGAACACGGGAATGGGAACAGAATTAAAATTGACGTTCCCAAAATTCTTTCTATCTTATTTCAATACACATAAAAATATTTCTATCTGATAACTGTTTATTTTCAATAACTTTTCTTATTCATCTACAATTAACAGAAAAATAACAAATGTGTATCAACAAAAAATAGACTATTGATTTATTCTTAACCACATCGTAACTTAATCATCACAAATATTATTTTCTTTTTCATCATCGTCTTCGAAAATGACATTGCCAAGATCATCTTGCGATACATCATTGTTTTCATCTTCTTGTGATACATCGTTATTATCATCTTCGCGACAAACTGGTATACATATATGCCAATGACACTTTCGCATAGATGAATAGAGCCTTAGAAAACCTTATGAGAATGGGAACAAAAAATTTTTTTTAGGGAATGGGAAAAAGAGAATGGGAACAAAAATTTTTTTTTAGGGAATGGGAATAGGGAATGGGAATCAGAAAAAGTCGTTCCCGCAGGACACTAGTTTCTAGACAGGCAAAATCATTTTATCTAAAGAAATCAATATTTAACCCACGTTATTACTGCTTCAATCGTTTCTCTCTTGCAAATATTCAACGTCATTCAATATAATTTTTTCTAATATTGTATAATTATAATTCATGGCATTATTCAATGATCTTTATTCATCATGAACTGATTTTCAGTCTAAAGGAGGTCATGTTCGTCGACGAATTGTATGTATAACGATTGTCTTTTCTTGACGATATGAACAATATTGTATTTCATTGGTCGAGTCGTTAGAAAAAAATTTATCAAATGTTAACAAAAAAAAAAAAACAATCGATAGTATATAAAGTGACAAGAAGGAAATTTTGAAGTTGAATTTCATAAAAAAAAAAAAGATGGCAATAAACCCTTTAGTCGAACAAGTACGTAGATCAACTTCATCATAGAAAACAATTTGATATGTGACGATAGGAGCAATTTTCAAACTAAAGCCAATAAAAATACAATGAACTCGAAAATCCTGATCGTGTAGACTCGGATTCCCCTTATCTACAAGATCATTCAGCCTTTTCTCACTTTATAGAGAAGGTGATTATATAGATATTTTTGTTTCATCTTATAGTTATTGACGGTTCATAAACGACAACAAGAATGTCAACAACAACTTGATACTGCTCGTGAGAATTTGTTCAAATGTTCTCAAATAGAAAATCCTAACGAATGGCAAACATTATTCACAATTGTCACGACAACGGCTATGACTTTGGGTGAAATTTCAAGCGAATTGAGAAGACTTGAACGTAATTTTTTCTTGTGCTTGAATAACTTTTATTTCTTTCTCTTTGTAGATATTCATGTCAATACGCTTGGTGGTCATCTACCTTATTGAATACTATATTCAATGAAGAAAAAAAAAACATTTTTCACATTCTATTTCACTATTGTTATTGTTAAAAGATTTTTTTTTTTTGTTGAATAAAACTTTATTTATTATTCATTCTTTTAAATAATTGAATAAGATATTCTGTATTAGAATAATTGAAGAGAAAAAAAAATAGTTAATAGAATATTGATCTAGTACGATGAAATGATGTTTGTTCGTATAAATGAGCTTGTTTTCGTCTTTTTTCCATAAATAAGCATCAACAAATGGTGCATTTAGTCTTTGTTCAACATCTGTATCTTTTTCTAAAAGAATTTTTTCATTAGCATGATTAACAATAAGATGAACAGTTAAGATTGATTCAGCACGAATTTCATATTCATCTGGATCTCCATATAGAATCAATTTCTTTCGTTGAAGCTGACCTTTTAATGCAGATGAATAAACCAGAACACCTTTATGTGATAACATTTGAGGAACACGATAATCAACAAACATTGTTAAACCATCCTATTTGAATAGAATTTCACAATTTCTTTATTTTTATTAAAAAGAAAATAAACCATATCAATAAAATGTCTTAAACCGTGACCATTAAAACATCCTCACATATCACTTACTAAAATTTGAGCTCGTTTACAAAAACTCACTAGAAATAATATTTTTTAAATAGAATACTTAAGTGAAAAAAAACAAACCTCGTTGTCCATCATAAACAGCTTCATCTCTATAAGATGGGAAACTTTTAACAACTAATTCAACAAAATCGACAGCACTTCCATCACTTTGTTCAATACATCGAGCAAAATGTCCACCATATTCTATTTAATTAAAAACTTTTTAAAAACAAATAAATAAAATAAATAACCTTAAGAAGTATTGATCGAGTTTCATGTAAAACGTTTAATCTTTCAGTCAATATTGGCAATCGAGATGAGTTTTCTCATGGTCGAAAAATATTTTCCAATTCATTTGTTGTTGTTATACGAGAATAATATTTTCCATTGAACTTCATCCTTTTAATTATCAATATATTACAAATTCAAAGATCAGATCTAATCCTTACATCTATTGCTTGATTTATTGCAACACATAATACTTCATAACCATAATAAGTTTCATTTTTGTATTTCCGACAATATGATTCGTTTTTATCATCATCAATCCAAAATGAAAAATTTCATGTACTTGTCAAAAATATCCTTTGAAATCAAACTTTAAAAAAAACAAACAATTTGTGATTCTTATTCAAACCAATCGATTGTTATTTGATCATTAATTTTTTGGTGGACCTACGTGTGAGCCGATTCAATCATCCGGTGTGCATTCTCCATCCATCATCGCACAAGAAATCTTAAGAAAAATATTTTTTGTTGAAAATAAAAATTGAAATAACAAATTCAAGAAACAGTATTAGCCAATTTTTGAAGAGATGAAGGACTTATTGAAACATGTCGAGCTCGTTCCATTATAAAACGAGCAGAATCCAGAGGACATAAACAACATTCTTCGTTTGTTTCACCCAAATAACTCATTGATTAAATCTTTAATAAATAAATTATTTTATTTTTATTTTAAAATTTCTCTTTTAGAAAATGTTTTTCTCAAATATATTTGAGAGATTTTGTTTTTAAGGCCGCCCTCCCCTCTCCAAAAAATCGTTTTTCGTCAAAAAAAATGATTTTTGAGAAAACTATACAGATATGTCGCCTAAGGTCCATACTTTAAATATTCGCTAAAAAACCTTTCAGTTTCAAAAGGTTTCAAATAGAACTACCACAAGTTTTTCAAATTTCTTATGGTAACATTCATAGGCGACATTAGATAAAAATCGAAAGAAATGATAGATAGTGCTACCATTTGTTAGCTGCATGTGGCGCTAGAGGTGTAGACCTATCTATCTTGATTAGTTCTGGTGACGGATATACGATATCACCATACGTCTTGCTAATATCCAACGATAGGTCGATAAAATATAGAAAAAAAAGCTTTTGCGTTTTTCTCGAAACTGGTTTTTGGCAAAATTGAGAAATTCCAAACAAATTTTTTTCAATATAGTTCGTTCCATCGAACTGCAGTTTTTTTATTTGATAGATTGATGAATCCTCAAGGGGGAAACAGCTGATTTTAATCAATTTTAAATCAAAAAAATCAGTTTAATCAGCTAAATCAAAAAAATCAAAAAAAAAATCAAAAAATCAAAAAAATCTGATTTTAGCTGTTTCCACCTTGGTATTAATGCTTTTAAACATTTGTGTTTATAGGAATTACCAAATGGGTATGAATCATGAATTTATATTCATAGTAAACAAAATGCTAGACTTTGAAAAGAAAATATTTTATAATTAAAAGACATACTTTCAGTCAAAAAATTCATAAATAAAATTCAACTTTTTATGAATGATGTGTAGTTGACTGTGTGTAATGAAAAGTAGAATGATGAAGGCAAATGTCTGAAATGCAGCATGATAAAATGATGCAATGTAAGCTACAAGTAAAATGAAGAGAAACACAAAAATGAATGATGATAAAGAGACGAAAAATGGCGCATGTGCAACTCAAACATATCGTCATTAGAAAAAAAATTGAGCAAGAACATCAGAGAAAGAGAACTGTCAAGCAAAAGCGACTACGAAGCGTTGCAAATTAATGTCAAAGGAAACGCGAGAGGACAGCAACATGTATTCATATACATGTTAGTCATATTTTTCAATTATACATCAGATGATAGTACGCGCACTATTTTCTC